GCCACTGACTGCTCACCACATACCACATTTATATCATGTTACTGTGTTTCTTCTCTCCCAATCTCTGTCTATTTTCAGGGACAAGGGGAAGGGGAAGGGTGCTGCCTTCGTAGCCAACGGTAGGCTGGTACCAGCCCTGTCACCTCAGAGGAAAGGTGAGTGTCTGGATGGCTGACAGAAATCACACAGTAGTTTAAATGTTGCCTGCTAGATGGACTGTATTATTACAGATGAGCGGTTTCCAGACTGAGGTGGGGGTGAGAGCATAGAGGGAGAGACGTGACTAAAAGAATGCCGCGTGATGTAAGAGGGACAGGAGCATGGCGCTTTTCTAACAACAACAGGAAGTTGGTTATTGTAGTTTGGCTCAACAATGTGAGCAGTTGCAGCAGTGGCACAGCTCATGGAGGCTATTACAGTACTTTAGAAACCCTTAATGCCTGATTGCAACAACAATCACGCTGCTTCTCACAGTCAAATCTAAACACACAGACGGGACTCGTACATTTTTCCACTTTCCGAGGATATTATTATCTCTGATGTGCATCCAAGTTTTCCTGGGTATCAAAATAATCCAGTGGTAGTTGTCCGTGTTCTACAATGCAAACAGGAACTGCTAATCGCTAACGCAGCATACTTTAAATGGCGCCAGTTTGACAAAATGTAAACAAATATACAGGGTTCCCACGCATCCTGGAAAACCTGGAAATTTAGAGACTGGTTTTCCAGTCATGGAAGCACCTGGAATTTGATTAAAATCGTATTTTAGCACATCACATTGCCACATTTTCTGTAAAACAAGATGAATTCTACTTGATTTGAACTGTTACTTATGGACTGTGGCCATAGTGTTATGGTTAGAGGAAGACTGTGGTAAGCTGCAGTCAGTTTGCTAGAGACCAAAGCGAGCTAACGCAGAGCACATAAGCACTGACCACCTCCCTGTAATAAACCTACACTACATCATGAACCTGCATCATTGAACCAGAAGTCCGCACCAGGCCTACTGGTAATGTATATGACCGTTTGGGAGTAAGTGTTGTCCTGTATTGGAAAGGTCCCGGAGGATTCTTAAAAAGAGTACATACATAAATGGTTGTAAATGCCTCTTACACAATCATAGACCAAACATTAAATTATTTTAACATTACTATCACAAATCCACAGGTTTTCATTTTTTGTTTGAAATAAATAAATGAATACATTTTCCTGTTAGATGAAATAACTGACCTTAAAACATTGAATCTTTTTTTTTAGTGACACATTTTAAACCGGTGAATGCTCTGTAGACTGATGCTTGGTGGATCGTCTGTAATTTAACACACACACACACACACACACACACGTTGTTGCAGATGGAGGTTCTGGTCCAGATACCTTTGGTGAAACGTCATCTGAAAGCTACAGCTCTCCATCCAGCCCTCAACACAGAGGACCAGAGAGCATGGATAGTGAGGACGACAACAACAAAGGTAACACACACACACACACACACACTACAGCTACACCACAGATAGCTGTAGTTTGCTGCATGTCTCTCTCATTGTCCTCTGTCATGAGGGTGAACCTGATCTTGTGTCTCTCACAGATACAGACAGCCACTCTGATGACTCCAGCAAAGGTCCGGGCCCTGACATGTTCTTCGCTCACCAGACTGGTCCAGCTGCGGTGGGAGAGGTCTCCTCTGTCCACCCTCTGTCTTCCAAGAACCACCAGGCCCAGCTGGAGCCGCTCTGCCCGGAGACCGGCTCAGATTTCCCCCCTCTCTCCTTCATGCACCCTCTGCCCTATGTGCTCCCCAACGGGGCCGCTGACTCTCCACTTCCACTGGTCCCTCCTCCCAGCCAAAGCATCGTCCCCAATGTGAAGCCCTCCTCCGGGACTCTGATGATGCAGATGCCCCTAGTGCCTCCAGCTGTCCCAGGTCCTGGACTTGTGGGAGAACCAGAGAAGAGGGACATGCTCCCAACCTTTGGGATTCCACCTATCGGCCTCCACCCTCCAGGAAGTCCTGCTGTGCAGCCTCTGGTTCAGAGATTCAAAACAGCTTTGTCTCACAGCCAGGGTGGCACTGATGGAGCTTCAGGGAGCGGTTCTACCCCCGCCTCCCCGCAGGCTTCCCACCAGGTTCCTGTCAGAGCCATCAGTGTCATGTCTCCTGGCTCCACATCCTTCTCCTCTCCTCTTCATCAGTCTCTGCCCTGCCAAGACCCAGCCAATGTCAGCTCAGGCCTGGCCCCCTCCCTGCCACATGTGGAGACTTCACATGCCAAGCACCCCAGCTTAACCTTACCGTCTGGCCTGCCTTCTCCCTACACCCTGCCCCCTGTCCCCACCTCCGCCATGCCTGCTGTAGGAGCGCCTGCGGCCACTGGAGTAGCTCCGTCTCCTGGACATGTACAAGCAGCTGTTCCTCCAGCTGTGCCCACCCACACCCCTGGACCCGCCCCCAGCCCCAGCCCAGCACTTACTCACAGCACGGCACACAGCGACTGTACAGCGTACAGCAACAGCAGTGCTTCGTGTGGAAGTGCTCCTGTTAACCCCATTACCCTTCAGCAAACCCAGCAGCAACAGTTGCCCCCCCAGCAGCCGACACCACCGCAACAACAACAACAGCAGCAGCAGCAGCAACCGATGGGCTGCGGGACCTGTGGTTGCCACAACAACTGCGGCAGCCGAGGCGGCGTCACTAACAACAACAGCGTGAGCGGTGCCTCCGGCTGCCAAACGCCCTTATACTTCCCTGCCCACCAGATGGCAGCAGCGCGGCAGATGTTCAGCGTTCCGCCGCACATCTTCCAGCTCACAAGCCTGTGCAGCAACAGTTACCTCACCCAGGCCCAGCCTCCCCACCAGGCCAACGGCGCTGCCACCCTGTCCCCCTTCTTCCCCACCGCTCCCCCTCCCGCACACCCGCCGCCCTACGGCCCCCTTCACACTCACTCT